GTCGCTGGCTTCTGCGAACGCCCTTGGGTTGGTCATTGCCTTGATTGGCGTCGCTTCGTCAGGTTGGTCGTGGTTGCGTTCTGCCATTGGTAGATTTTCCTCTGCGTTTCTTCTTGGCCCCACGGTGGGCGCCAATTGTTTGAACCTAACTGAGTGTAGGAGTGAGGTTCGGGGGAAGATGTGGGTCAAGAAGAGTAGGCAAAGGGGGAAATCTGAGATCTCGCGGGTAGTGGGGATGAGGCTGAGGGGAGAAGATTGAGAGAGTTTGAGTTTAGAGAGAGAAACTGATGTTCATAGAGAGAGAATGTCCATAAACCGATCCCCTTCACCCACCGGAGTAAATGCCATATTTATAGGCTACATGGTGGTGGGTGAGTGGGTGGATTACATGATGGGACCTTGACCTTGACATGACCACTGACGTGTCGGGGATTTAGGCCATCCCACTACCTAGGACATGTCAGAGGTGTACCTACGACTGTATCTCTGATCCCAACGTGGCTAGCCCTCGGGGAGTGTGAGGGGAACTCCTTATGGCTTTGTGGCTCGATACTCGTTCTTCCCTCTCAGCACGCGCGTGGCTTACGACGAGCCCGGAGTCTCCGTGCCTTGATACTTTCCACCCTCGCGCAGTTTGTGAGGAGCTCTGGGTCTTCGCGCGTTGCTTCTTTCCACCCGCGCACACGTTGTGGCGCGTCTCAGGCCTTCGTGCGCGCCTCAGACCTTCGTGTCGCGCCTTGTGTCGGCGCGTCTTACCTTGCGCGGCTAGGTCCGAGTCACATGCCCAACAAAACCCTAGTTCACTTGGTCGAACTTCGAATCACAACCTTGTAAACACACATAGAGCATTTTTCAGAATTTCGGTGATTTTTCCCTCTGAGGCCCAATCTAGTAGCAATTCTTTTATTCTCGAGAATCGAACTCATTGCTAGGTATAGTCCCACGGTTTACGGTGATAAATGTTCAGAAAGCCAATCAACATGCCATGCATTTGAGACTTAGGATAATTACTTGCGCTTATGAATTAAGAAGCACAAAATATCCTACCGATGAACATGCGCTTATGAAATGCTTGAACCACGGCTAAACCATGATTTCAGCATTAAATACCCACTGATAAAGTTTTTGGTACGACCTTCGATATGTTATTTCAACCCGTGACCAAAACCAATACGAAACAAAAATAAAAAGAGTTACCAATACATCAATAAATAAGTGGATGTGAGCAAAAACAAAAATGACATACAACTCAAGATAGCATAACTCTATTAAACAAAATATAAAATAAAAATAATTAGCAATACACCAATAAGGAAGTGGCTGTGAGCAAAAGAAAAATAATCTACCCCTCATGTTAGCAAAACTCTTATAGCAAAGTAACTCTCTTGTATGTTTAATAATATTCATGGACTTGTGTGTCTACCTATGTGATCAGGAGAGCTTGGTTTAGGGTTTGCTTATGCTTTAATTAATCGAGGTATTTTTGGGATTTTCTCAATTACGTGTGAGTTTAATCCAAAACTCAGTTAACGTAATTAACTTCCTCATTTCATGTCGATACTTGACACCATTTGAATCGAGAGTTCATATTTTTAGTTCTCATTGATATTATGGTGGAATTTGACAAATTTTCCAAAGGGTATAATAGTCATTTTGATTGTTGACAAGAGCAGGGTGTAACAAAGGTGTCTGACCTTTGATAGGGCGCTTGACACCTCACTCCTTTGTCGTGGTGCCTGACCTTCAATGAGGCACCTCACACCTCACTCCTTCAGAGAGGTTCCCAACCTTCAATGGGGTGTCTGGCGACTCGCTCCTTTGTCGAGGTGCCTGCCCTTCAGTTGGGTGCCTGAGACCTCACTCATTCAGTGAGATGCCTAACCTTTAGTGGGGCGCCTAATGACTCACTCCTCTGTCGAGGTGCCTGACCTTTCATTTGGGAGCCTGGCATCTCACTCCTTCAACGAGGTGTCTAACCTTCCATGGGGCGCCTAACGAATCGCTCCTTTGTCGAGGTGCTTGACCTTCAGTTGGGAGCCTGACACCTCACTCCTTCAGCGAGGTGCCTCACCTTCAGTGGGGCATCTGGCGACTCGCTCCTTTTGTCGAGGTGTTTAACCTTCAGTTGGGCGCCTGACACCTCACTCCTTCAGCGAGGTGCCTAACCATCACTAGGGCGCTTGGCGACTCGCTCTTTTGTCGAGGTGCATGACCTTCAGTTGGGCGCCTAACACCTCACTCATTCAGCAATGTGTCGAACCTTCAGTTGGGCGCATGACGACTCGCTCCTTTGCCGAGGTATCTGACCTTCAGTGGGGCGTCATGCGCCTCCCTACTTCAGCGAGGTGTCTGATCTTTAGTGGTGGGATGTCTGGAGCCTCACTTCTTCGCTTGCTTGCCCTTGTCAGACTTGTCTTCGAACGAGGATGGGAGAATAGGTGAACTTCTGATCACCCCTTGTCAGACTTTCCCAATGTCAAGCTCTTCCTCATTATGTCGATCTTGAGAGAGCCTCGTCATCTAATTGTTCTTCTTTCCTTGCCGAGGTGTGGTCTCCTAAGCGCTTGCCCGTATTTTCCTTTCCATTAAATAGAGAGCTAAGGTGAATTGTCGTTGCTTGGTCGCTACTAACTTTCTGGTTTATCACCTAGGCTCTTCCATTTCTATGTAATGTATGACATTCCATTTTTCAAGTATCAATACACGATTCAAGGTGCTTGGAACCTCCGACGACGAGGTTGATGGACCCTCCTTCCAGGAATTCGATGCACCACCTACTAGTGATGATGAGGACCACTTGCCTAGGCTTCTCCTCGACGGGTAAGCGAGCACAAGGGCCTCTCTCTGACTAAGCGGGAGTACAACGACGCTCCAGTAAGGGAATAGCATGTCAGGCTTATCCTCAACGGAGTAAGTGAGCACAAGTGACTCCTTCCGACTAAGCGAGAATACAACACGACGACGACTTGAAAGAGGTGCCTAAGAAGGAACATTATGAGGGATGTGTTGGGGACATCACCTCTCATGGGGATGTGGGATCTGGAAACCCGACACTCATCTAAGTCAAGCGCAAACTCTGAGGCTCTTCACTTTGGGGGGAAAGAATATCGGTTGGGGGACAACGTCTGCATCAATTGGTGATGCTCCCCAAAGCAGAGCATCGTTGCTCCTGAATAGGAAATAATGTGCCTATGCTTCTCCTCGACGGAGGAAGCGAGCTATATGAGCTCCATCTGTCTAAGCAGGGGTAATTCGAGGGATATTGTAGGGATACCCTCTCATGGAGACCCATTGTTGGGCACCGGTAGGGCTGTACATGGGTCGGGTGGTTCGGGTTGGGTCATATTAATCACCCGGCCCATATACTATGATTTTCAAAATGTTAAATCCAATCCGACCCAAATAAATGGAGGAAAAATTTTTCAGTATGCATAAATATTGTTTGGATTTTAATGAAATGCAATTTACTTCAACATATGCCTAGTTTTTTCATAAATATTTGTCGAAGTAAACTAAAGTAGTTATAAGCTAACATATTCATAATATATTCTTCTTGTAAAATTGTACACACAAGAAAAAAGTTTACGTGAATCATAAGCTTCTATTAAATCTATGTCTATTAAGTTGAATAATATATTAGATTAGAGAAATCGCAAAGAGAAAAATATGATAATATAGCTTGATTTTCTCACAAATATGTGTTGTATACAAACACTTATGCCAATAGTTCAACACAGGTTGGGTCGGGTTCTACAGGTTGCGTTACCCAAAATCCGGACCCAACCCAATAGAGACGGGTTGTACAAAAGAAAACCGTCACCCAACCTTAAACTTTAATTTTGTCGATAAATACGAGTGGGTTGGGTCGGGTTGGACGGGTGAGTGGGTTTGTAGGTTGTTTTGTTCATCCCTAACGCCCTGGCACCTGACTGAAGAGCCAGATGCAAGCTCTAGTGCTCTTTCACTTTGGGGGGGGGGGGGGGGGAAATGAATATCGGTTGGGATGAACATACTCTGGACCAGTTGGTGATGCTCCCCAAAGCAGAGCCACAGACGCTCCTAAACAGGATATAACGCGCCTAGACTTCTCCTCGACGGAGGAAGCGAGCTATATGAGCTCAATCTGTCTAAGCGGGGAAATTCGAGGGATATTGTAGGGATATCTCCTCTCATGGGGACCCGTGGTTGGGCGCCCTGCATTTGACTGAAGAGCCAGGCGCAAGCTCTAGGGCTCTTCCGCTTTAGTGGAGAATGAATATCGGTTGTGATGAACATCCTTTGAACCGTTGGTGATATATAATAAAAATGATTTTTTTTAGTATATATACAACATAAAAATGTTAAGACAAAGAGTTTTTTTAGGAGGACCAAGATAATATTATTACTAACTAATATGTTAGGTACAACCAATCATATGGCGTCATGTTATTTGTTTATTTGGAATTCATGGCCGCCGGCAGATGGAATTGCAGGGTTGACACTCATGTTAAAAATAAAGTACCTGAAATCCTGAGTTAAAGTGATTTCATCCTTTTAATACAATAAATGAACTCCTGGTTGACAATAATTAATTAGTGCTAATAGCCAAATTCCAAAGGAGAGCAGCCAAATCCTTCCTACACAGACATCTTACAGCTCTCTCTACTTCATAATTGCCTCACCACACCCACCTGTCCCTCGTTCCTTCTACCATTTCTATATAACTATACTAGAGGCAAGGCAAAAATCACCAAATTCATTGCAACAACTCGAATTTAAGATCTTGAAGTTACGATTTCGATGTGATACTATTACACAACCTATTTCCCGCTATGAAAAAGAAGAAAAGAGGCAGAAGTTTTTTCGGTGTAAAAAGAGTCAAAAGTTACAAACACAAAACAGAAAAGTGAAAAAGGAAAACAGAGGAAACGATAAATAATAAAACAAATTAAGCAAGAAAAAGAAGGGCTTATTTTCGTTAAAAATTATAAAATTGTTTTGTTGGTGCAAAACGCAACAGCTTTTGTCTTTGGATCTGATAATCAGTGATTTTAATTTTACTGTTAACTCATTTATTAATTCTGTTAATTCGCTGCTTAATATTCTCTCCCTCTCCCCTGTTTTGTGCTTTCTTCAACACTGATGAACGCCGAGATAGCTGCAACAAGCAACAACAAAAAAGCGCTCTCTCTCTCTCTCTCTCTCGTCTCTGCCATTTCCCCATCTCTCCACTCTCTCCAACTAACCACCTCCCCGAAACTGGTAACTTTCCTCCTTTTCCTGAAAAACCCTAGTTTCCATTTCATCTCATTCGATTCTTTCTTCTTCGTGTTTCTTCCCATCACAAATGCCGGATGCCGGAAGCTCCTCTTTTCGGAATTGTTCTGGCTGATCGTTGTTTTGTTCGTTCCTCGCCCGCACCCTTCCGGATTTTCTGTTTAGTGATCGGTATTTGATCTGATCTTTTGCTTGGGTTTCTTCTTCTTTCCCTCCCTCGAGATCTGCACTGAAGCTAAGAATGGAAAGTTTGATTGCATTTCCTTGCCAGAATTGGGATTCGATGGGTATTATCAGTGGACAAAAAAGGGGGGCGGAGTTGTGTTTTTTGGGGATTCGTTCATTTAATTGCCTTCTCTCTGTTGGATTTCATATTTTTCTTCTAGAAAAATAAAAAAAAAGTGGCCGTTAGTCACTGCCACATTCGCGGAGAATTTGGTTGTTTTTATTCTGTTTTTGACTTTTATTCTGCTCCGCAGGTTGATCTGAATTTGGTTAAGTTGCTGGGCGCGTTGATGGACATCTGTTGTTGATTCTGGTTCCAATTCTTCATTGATCCAAGGAGCTTGTTTTGGCATTTACTGTGGGGAATTGGATTTAAATCCAATTCAATTTTATCTCAATTGTTTTGGATTCGAAGCTTAGAGTGGAAATCTGAAGATCCCGAATCGAGTGGCTTGCTGCCTCTCTGGTTACTGTGGACTCTGCTGTTCGATGCTTGCAGGGATAGTTGGTGTTCATGGTAAAATGTACACAAGCTTGTATGTGACTATTGGTGACGCTTTTCCGTGCTCGTGGAGTTCTGGGTCATGATTGGATCCTTGGTTGGTTGTGAAAGTTCGTTTTGTTTAAAAATTCGGACATGAGAAGTCCTTGGCTCAATAAACTATATGTTACTTTAGGCCCTAGACCGCCGGCTAGTTGGTTGTTGTTGTGCCTTGTATGTGTCCTTGCTGTGATTGCCATCTTAGGATCGACGTCTTCCACTACATTTGATTCCGTCGCAGTCACACCAGTTCCGAACATTTATTCGAATTACAGAAGGTTAAAGGAGCAGGCTGCAGTCGATTATTTGGAGCTTAGATCGTTCTCAGTTTCTGCAGCTAGGCAGCAAGTGCTTGGTCTTTGTGGCAAAGAAAGAGAACATTTTGTGCCTTGTTACAATGTCACTGCAAATACATTGGCTGGGTTTAAGGATGGTGAAGAGTTCGATAGGCATTGTGAAATGTTTAGGCCAAGAGAGCGTTGCTTGGTTCGGCCTCCAAAGGATTACAAGATCACCACTAAGATGGCCGGCAGGGAGGGATGTAATATGGAGTGGAAATGTGAGGCTAAGCAGAGACCAGTTTCTTTCTTCTGGAAGCATGACAAAGAGGTGCCACCTGCTTTGTTCAGTCATTGAAGTAGTGAACTTATAATGCAGAATTTTAGTATTTTAGTTGGTTATAATTTTAATGCCCCAATTGTTGTAGATTGATGCTGCTGGAAGAGAATCAAATTGCTTTTCACTCTGAAGATGGATCGATATTTGATGGAGTGAAAGACTACTCACGCCAGGTTGCTGAAATGATAGGTTTAGGAAGTGACGCTGAGTTTCATCAGGCTGGTGTAAGCATTCCTTCTTAGACATTCCATGTTGAATAACCAGCAGAGTACTCGTTAGGCATCTTATAACTATATTTGAAAGAAACGAAAATCTATTTTCTCTTCTTATATGGTCTTTTGCTTTTCATGTCTGATCATAGGTAAGGACTGTGTTGGACATTGGTTGTGGATTCGGAAGCTTTGGAGCTCATCTAGTGTCGCTCAAGGTAATGCCGATCTGCATTGCTGCTTATGAGGCCACCGGCAGCCAAGTTCAAGTAGCACTTGAGAGAGGCCTACCAGCTATGATTGGAAATTTTATCTCACGGCAACTTCCATATCCTTCATTGTCATTTGACATGATTCACTGTACTCAGTGCAGTATTATCTGGGATGATAAAGGTACATCTGAGTGCTTAACTTTCCTCTCTTTAATTTTTCAGATCCTCTCCACTTGTTCGTCTTTGTTTCTGTGTCTTCTTAGTACTCTTATTGTTTGTTCTTTTACCCATTTTCTTTGCCTCTGTTTCTATTTTTAAATTTGGCTTTTGTCTAGTCATGTTTTTACTCATCTGATATAACGGATGGAAAAGTTGTTATTGTTGGAATGTTGATACTGTTTTACACCAGGACTGTGAATCAGTTTCAAATATGACAGTAAGAAGGGAATGTTGTACCTTCACTGACCATTTCTTCCTTCAGCTTTTGTTTTCACCGTTTCTCGCTGAAGACGTTTATGTGGTAGACGTCTAAATGTTGAGAAATATAAACCACTATGTGATATGCATTCGTGATTGTATATTTCTGATATGAAGAAGTATCATGAAGTACATTTCTTTTGACAGGGTCTTGTGGAAGTTTTTTTTTCTTCTTCTTCTAACCAGTGTATGTTGGAGGCATCCTAGTGTTTCATTTTGTACACATATTAGAATGAGCTCTTTTTTCACTGTTATCTGACAACGACTTCCTAAAAATCAGATGGTATGTTCCTTATCGAAGTGGACCGAATTCTCAAGCCAGGAGGTTACTTTGTTTTAACATCTCCGGCAAGTAAACCAACTGGAAGTTCATCTAGAATTAAGAAGAGGAGCATGGTGGCACCAATTGAAGAATTCACTGAAAATATCTGTTGGAGTCTCATGGCTCAGCAGGACGAGACGTTCATCTGGCAGAAAACTGCTGATGTCAATTGTTATAAATCTCGGTGAGGATGCGATGATCAAACTCGCTTCCTTCAATTTTCTTTCTTTCTGAAGTATATTGCTTGGGATCAAAGGATGTACAACTCTTGCTTTATTTTCCTTATGTCTTAATAATATTGCAGTAAGTCGGCTTCTCCTCCAATTTGCAATGAAGGGAATGATATTCCTCCATATTACCAGCCTCTTGTGTCATGTATTAGCGGAACCACTAGTCAGCGTTGGATACCAATTCAGAACAGGTCAACCGAGCAGTTAAGCTCATACGAGCTTCAAGTTCATGGCAAGTATTTTTTGTGTTTTAGATGATATTTTCTTTTACACGTAAAGATGCAAATGCTAAGCCCATGATTTAAAGTCCTGACTCTATTCTGAATGTCCTTTTGCAGGAGTTCCACAAGACGATTTCTATGAGGACTCCCAGGTGTGGCGATCGGCTCTTAGAAACTATTGGTCATTGCTAACACCATTAATTTTCTCCGACCATCCAAAGAGGCCAGGCGATGAAGATCCATTACCTCCATTCAATATGCTAAGAAATGTTATGGACATGAATGCTCATTACGGTGGCTTAAATGCTGCCTTTCTGGATGAGAAGAAATCGGTTTGGGTGATGAATGTTGTCCCTGTTAGGGCCCGTAATACTCTTCCCCTCATAATCAATCGAGGTTTCGCTGGTGTTCTACATGATTGGTATGCTTTCTATTTCATAGCCTACTATATCTGATTGTCTTGAGTAAAAATCGCATTTACAACGTGGCCTAGGATAACTGGGTTCATCCTTATTATGTGAAATAGAGATTTTTTAATGTAATCCTTTATTTTGCTTGCAGGTGTGAGCCCTTCCCGACTTACCCCCGAACATATGACTTTCTCCATGGATATGGACTGCTCTCTCATCTTAGTTCAGAGAGGTGTGGTATGATGGACGTACTATTGGAGATGGATCGAATTCTAAGACCTGAGGTACATTAATGCAACTATTTATATATGTGCTAATGACCATATCTTCAGAGCCAGATTAAAGTACTTGTGTAATATGTCTGAATTCACGCGATACTACAAGGATCAGTTGTCCTTGTCCATCTTCATCCCATGACGGGTTGTTTGTGTTTGCAGGGATGGGTGGTTCTGTCAGATAGTGTAGTAGCCATCGACATGGCTCGAGCACTAGCTGCGCAGATACATTGGGAAGCAAGGGTTGTGGATCCTCAGAATGGCAGCGACCAGAGGATACTGGTTTGCCAAAAACCATTTGTCAAGAAATGATTCTTCAAGCATTTTAGTATTAATGGAATCCTTCGTATTAACTGTACAATCTTTGTTTTCCGCTGGCAAACTGTTACCCTCATCTCTTTGAAACTCAGCTAGCTCTCTGTTAACAAAGCTTATGGCCACGGATTTGAAATTGGCAGCATGAACATGTTACAACACTGTCCAGGGCCCTGAGAGCAGGAAATTAGCACTGGCAAACTAGTGGGAATTGGAAGAGGCTGTAGATTAGCAAGAAGCCTTGTATTGCTGGCTGCAGAGAAAGTGAGCTGCTAAGTGCAAAAGCCATTCAGATTTTTTTTCCCCCCATTTTTGTTTTGAGTTCAAAGCATTTGTAGCATTTATTCATCGATTTTGTTTTGGCTCCCTTCTTTTTGCTAATTCTTTCAGTGTTGATGATCTCTTTGTTATTCTTTTTTTTTATTATTTTAATTTCCTTCTCTTCCAAACATTGAGAGTTTCAAGGAAGATTTTTCATATAATTATATATAATGAATGTACTGGGACGGGAACAGCAGTAAAGTGCAGTCAAGGAAAAACTTTATAAATTCCCACGACATTCTTCTTTTTCAGTCCCTTCAAGGATATCCAATATTCTTCTTTTTCTAGTTCTGTTCAATTCTTTGTCAGTGTTTTGGATGGCCTGTGATTCACAACTAATGGCTACTACATTTGACCAGTGCACCTTAGTCAAACGAGTATTGTCAATTCTCACGGCCAACCGTGACCTCCACAGAAGAGGCGGTGAGAATTGTAAAGTTCTAGGAGTCAAATTACAGTTTACTGGCTCGTGAAAAAGTCACGCTTTCGATTGTGATATTTGCAAAGCAACTATGAGCTGTGTAAATGAAACGGTTCATTTCAGTTCGACGTCACGATTTACCTGCCATGATGTGCGATTGTGATTTTGGTACTTCTGGGTATAAATAGAAGTTGAAGACATTTTTGAAAAAGGAGGATTTTAGAGGGAGAGTAGCAGCAGCCTCCTAGAGAGAGAGATAGTGATGACCAATGAGCTCTAGTGGTGATTTAAGACTTCAATTCTCAATTAAAGGCAAGATTTACGCCCAATGAGTGATAATTGAAGTTCTAGAAGAAGAACCAATCCTTTTGATGTTGATTTCTTTCTTTGAGTTTGTAATTTTTCTCTTTCTCTCACTCACTGTGAAGTAGAACCCAATCTCATTTGGATGTGTAGAATTCTAGCTATCTATGGGGTTAGATGGTTGAATGATTCATATGTTTGTTTGGGCTAAATTGCAAGTTTTGGCACTAGAATTACTTAAAAAGTTCACATTTGCCATTACAAATCATTTATTTCATCCGTAGTCGCTTAAATTAGGTTAATAGTTCAAGTTTGGTCATTGACCGTTAGTCTCCGTTAACTTTTGCTGATGTGGCGGTCAACTCTTATAGTTGACCGTTAAATAAGTGACGTGGCAAATAAAAAAAAATAAAAATGGTTATTTCCAGCTGATTATTATAAATTAAAAAAAAAGAAAATGCTAATTCCTTAATTATTATTTTCCATCGCCATCTTCCACGGCGACACCGCCGCCGCCGGCGCTGCTGGTTTGCTCTTTACAATTTCCTGCTCCACTTCCAGCTCGTCTTCTTCTCCGGAATAAGAAAACGAGGACGCGATTCAGTTGTCGGGTCGTTGTCGGCTCGGCGACGACGAGGAGTAGCGAGAGAGGAAGATTTGGAAGGGATACGGAGCTTGGCCAAGTGGGATTTCATGTGGCCGCCCAAGGATCTTCCATTGGGGAACACTCTGGATTTGTGCCTCTCCATGAGCTCCCTTTTCCCTCTCTCTCTCATATAGAAACAAGAAAACAGAAGGTGGAAGGTGGAAGGAGAAAGATAAGATTTTGTTGGAGAGAGGCAGTTAAAAGGAGTAGGTGACAAGCATTCTTCCACCAAAAATACAGAATTCCACAGACCCAAAGCTTATGACAAGTATTCTGCCACCACATCGTCGGCGGGTTGAGGAGCGTGGAATTCAAAGTCATGGAGACTGACCCGTCAGAATTCTGCATCGTCTCACCGTAAACAAAGATTTTCTGCGACGGCGAGCCGGTGAAGAGGGAAGGTGTGGAGAGGTACGACATTGGTGGAGTCAGGAAACAGCTCGCCCTGATTAGAGAGGCGGTGGTCCTAGTTGGCACGGATTGCGCGAGCTGCTTCTGAAACATTCGTTCCTACGTATTTTGCTTGCTTTAAACTTATTAAAGAGTTGGTTATGAGCTAACATTTGAATCATTAATCTGCTTACGGAGATGATGATAACAACGTTTTTGTGATGGAAACCCTAAAATCTGGTTTGTCTCATTGATCTTTTCAGCTTATATAGCTGTTGCAGTAGTACAAGTGGGTTTGCTTAAGTGTAGAAGAAGACAAGGTTCCTTCAACTACAAGTACAGTCCGAAAAGGGAAAAGTGAAGAAAAACAGAAGTACAGTGACCAAATGTGAAATTGTCTATCCGCTCTTGTTTCTCCCTGAAACGATGTCGCTCCAGGTCCAGCTTGGTTTAGGTTGACTTAGTGGAACGCTGTCGTTGAGCTGTTGGATTCCGTCCGTTGTCGAAGCGGCGTCGTGGTGGCCTCGTGGCGGAACGTCGTCGTCTGGAAGGCGGGTTTGAGAAGAATTTGAATTCTTCTCTGATAGCCCCCCGCAAGCTGGTGGGCAGAGTTCATGGACACCAAGCTTGGAAAGTAGATGGTGAAAGATGGCCGGGGAGAGAGCCTTGGTGAAGAGATCGGCCAGTTGGTGAACAGTAGAGACATGTAGGACTTTGATGGTGCCATCTTGGAGCTTTTCGCGGACGAAGTGACAATCCAATTCGATGTGCTTCGTCCGTTCGTGAAATGTGGGGTTCTCGGCGATGTAGATGGCTGATTGGTTGTCGCAGTAGATGGAAGCTGGTTGAGGATGAGGAATCTTGAAGTCGTGGAGCAGGTAGAGGAGCCATTGCACTTCACAGGTGGTGTATGCAAGGGCGCGGTATTGTGCTTCACAAGAAGATCGGGAAATGGTGGTCTGCTTCTTGCATTTCCAGGACACCAAGGAGTCACCCAAGTAGACACAGAAACCGGTCACAGAGCGGCGTGTGTCAACACAGGCGGCCCAATCAGAGTCACTGAAAGCCTTCAAGTGCAGTGTGGACGAAGAAGGGAAGAAGAGACCATTTGATGGTGCCGATTTGAGGTACCTCAGTATTATGGTCACAACTTTGAAATGTGTATGGCTAGGGTTAGACATAAATTGGCTTACTTGTTGGGTGGCGAAGCTTATGTCAGGCCTTGTTGTAGTGAGGTAGATGAGCTTCCCAACAAGTCTTCTGTATTGTTCTGGGTCAGGGTCGGGGTCATCATGTTGAGCAGATAGGTGGGTCTTGTAATCAATGGGAGTAGTGACTGGTTTGCTGTTGATCATGGCAGCATCATCCAGGATCTCCAATGTATATTTTCTTTGAGAAATGTGAATGCCAGAAGTTGATCTTGATACCTCAATGCCCAGAAATAATTTTAAATCACCTAAGTCTTTGATGCTGAATTCTTGGTGCAAGTAAGCCTTGATGTTGATGATTTCAGACAAGTCATTTCCTCCAATTACAAGGTCATCAACGTAGACTAAGATGCAGGTGTAGGAAGTTGATGTAGCCTTGTAAAACATGGAGTGGTCGACTTTGCTGGATGTGAAACCTTGAGAATGTAGTTTCTCAGCCAGTTTAGAGAACCACTGTCTTGATGCTTGCTTTAGGCCATAAAGTGATTTCTTGAGCTTGCAAACAGGGTTTTTGATTCCTGCTGGTGGTATGTAACCATCTGGGAGCTTCATATAGACACATTCCTCCAAATCACCATGGAGGAATGCATTGTTGATGTCTAGTTGATGCATGTGCCAGTTGTGTATAGAGGCCAGAGCAAGGAACAATCTGATTGTAGTCATTTTCACAACAGGAGCAAAAGTATCTTGGTAGTCAATGCCCTCTTGTTGTGTGTAGCCTTTAGCAACTAGTCTTGCTTTTCTTCTTTCTAGGCTACCATCAGAGAGAAACTTAAACTTGTAGATCCATTTGTTGCCGATGAGTTTGACATTGGGAGGGGCCTCCACAATGTCCCAGGTCTGGTTTTTGTCAAGAGCTTGAAACTCATCCTGCATAGCAGCATCCCAGAATGGGGAGAGAATAGCCTCCTTGTATGATTCTGGTTCTTTGTAAGAAGAGATGCTTAATGCAAAATGTCTGTCAGATGGAGACAAGTTATCATAGTGAATAACCTTTCTGAGTGAGTGAGTGATACCTGGATTGTGCTGTTGAGTAGGATGACTGGTAGAAGAAAATTGCTGAAGCAGGTTGCAATGGTAAAGTTGGAGATGGGAGGGTGGTTTGGGAGTTCTTGTGGACTTCCTAGTAGGAACAGGAGGTGGTGGTGGTGGTGGTGGAGAGGGTGATGGAGTAGGAGAGGAAGGTTGTGCAGAGGTAGGAGTGTTGTTAGTGGTGTCTGTGTCACTGTCAGTGTCAAAATGGATTGTGTTCAAGTCATTGAGGGTATGAGAGGGGTTGGTGGTGGGTTGGTAACTGGGGCTGGGATCATCAAAGGGGGAAGGGGTTAGGGAGGCATTGTATAGATCAGAGGGAAGAGTGGAAGTGGTCTCATGGTGAAAGGGAAAATGGTTTTCATGGAATTGAACATCCCCTGAAGTGAAAACTTCATGGGAAGTCAGGTCATATATCCTGTACCCTTTTATCCCTGATGTAAAACCAATGAAAATGCCTTTCCTAGCTCTGGAATCAAATTTTGTTCTGTGGTTGTGGAGTGTGCTGGCAAAGCAAAGACAACCAAAAACTCTGAGGTAGGAAAGGTCAGGTGGTTTTTTGTGAAGCTTTTCAAAGGGAGTGAGGTTGTTTAGAACAGGAGTTGGTACTCTGTTGATTAGGTGTACAACATGTTTCACACAATCTACCGAGAAATCAGGTGGGAGGTTGGCTTGGAATTTTAGAGCTCTGGCAACAGCAAGTATGTGTTGGTGTTTCCTCTCTACTTTGCTGTTTTGTTCAGGAGTTTCAACACATGATTGTTCATGAAAAATCCCTGTGTTTTGAAAGAAATCATTCATCCTGAATTCTTTGCCTTGATCACTTCTAATTCTCTTGACAGGAGTGTCAAATTGTCTTTCAATGTAATTGCAAAACTCCTGTAGTTTAGGTCTGGCTTCTGCCTTGGTTTGTAAAAGGATGATCCATGTCATCCTGGAGAAGTCATCAACTATAGTTAAAAAATATCGATATCCATCATAGCTAGGAACAGGGTTTGGCCCCCAAATGTCAGTATGTATTAACTGGAAAGGATTCTCAGTTACAGATGAACTGGAAGGGAAAGGCAGTCTCTTTTGCCTGGCAAAATGGCATACATCACAGGGTATAGAACTGTATGTTTCTATGGATGTACACAAATCCTTCAAAAGTGGTATTTTGGAATGGGAGACATGCCCTAGTCTATGGTGCCAAAGATCAAAAGGTGCACTACTGGTTGCAGTAGTGTGTTTAGGTATGGTAGAGTTGTCTATGTTGTCTAATAGGTAGAGGCCATGGGACAGCTTAGC